CCGATTCGGTGGCCAAATCTCCACATCTGAATCAAATCAGAGGACCTTTTAATCTCTCTGAATTGAATCGGAACCCTCTGAATCAATTCGGAGAGGTCTGGGAAGATTCAGCAATTTGGACACAGACACAGCTTTAAATGTTTTCTCTACATACCTTGAGGTAGCAGACAGCTTGTGAATGCTGTGATGCTGGGCCACATGGAGCATCCTACAGGAGCACAGGGGGCTCCCCAGCACGGTCCTCGGTGGACTGGAATTCCCCATGCCCCCCTCAGCTCAGCAACTGGTGCCTCCTGAGTCTGGGCGGGCACCTGGGGTCTCCCCGTGGCTGATCACCGAGCCACACCGGAACCTCGAGGTATGTAGAAAAAACATTTAAAGCTGTGTCTATGTCTGAATCAGCTTCAAATCTTCAGCTTCAGATTCGGCCAAATTGAATCAGGGACAGTGATCTGAATCAACGAATCCAATCACTGTCCCTGATTCAGGCGGAATCCGAATCCAAATCAAATAGGGCCCACCTTGCACACCCCTAATCATTGGATATTACAATATATTTAGTTTACCCTACATTTCAGTTTCCATATATCCTGTATGCTATTTCAACAACAGGTGTATTTTGCTATAAGGAACCTAAAATGCAAGTAAATAAATGTATTGGATGGAAAGCCCATATAAAACTAAGTGGAAGAACAAGACTTTTCCACTGCATCAATTCATATATTCAACCAACAGGTGTTCTGGAGAGGCCTTGGGACACCAAAAGAAATAAGGAACTCAGATCCAGCAACCTCATCCTCCTACCTAGTCCTTTCTAACACAGAACTAATCATATGTATATGGGACATTTGTGAGAGTAAGGGCTTGCAGGACACAACCCTAATGTTCCCACGCATTGCAGTTCCAACACCCATGGTGATTTATGTTTATAACTGGACGAGATGGGCAATTATTTCCTAACTGAAAGCTTACATTTGATACCATCTGAATCTATTGTGGGGGCCTGGGCAAATACATAAAGCAAACTCCTTATTTAACAACACAATATTAGGCAATAAATTACAAATGAAATGAAAGAGAACCTTGGCTTTTTACCTAACCAGACATAATCAAGCATGTCTTTGTACTTTGCTCCATAAACAGAGAGTGAATATTGTGACCATCTGCAAAGTGCTTTTGTAGTTCTGTGACCAAGAAACTCAGAGAGACAAGTGTTGTAAAATATGGGCAAATTAAACTGAATCCATCAACAACATAAGAATCAAATTCAAGTCCCAAAAGAGAGGAATGGGTATTGTGCTAAAAGTGCTACTCTACTCTCTTTCTTATTCTCTAATTCCAATAATTCCTATTCCTTTACTCTACAAAGTTACCATGTGTTTAGACAAGGTCAGCATTGTAGGAAAAGTGCCAAATAAATCAAGGCAAAGTATTGAATCATAAATGTGTAATAAATATACAAGTTCTGAATTATGAACCAATATGTAAATGTTTTTACTATATTCCTGGTGATATGTAGCAAAATGTTTTGGAAACAAAATAAATTATATAGCATCATTTTCTTAATTTGTAGGCAAACAAAAAATCCATTAAATGTTTGTTCTTTGGATTCCATTTTAATTCCAAAATCCCACTGAGAATCAATACTCTGTATTTGTGTGCACGTTCTTTTTCTCAACTTCTCCATGAATCCACATCTATCTATACATTCATCCCCTCATACTATTATATACACTATTACACTATTATATATATATAATAGTATGAGGGGATGAATGTATAGATAGATGTGGATTCATGGAGAACTTGAGAAAGAGAACGTGCACACAAATACAGAGTATTGATAATAGTATAGATTATATATAATAACATGAGGGGATGAATGTAGATGTGGATCCATGGAGAAGCTGAGAAAGAGTACATGCACACAAGTATACTTGATTGTATCCAAAAAATAGTGTATGTATCCAATCAGGTGGCCAGACACACTTTGTCTTACTTAAAGTATATAAGAACCTCATTTCCCATGATCGTGCATGTGCACACAGAATGAATTCTCTACTAGATATGTGTTTCTCTAGAATCTACTAGACCGTATTTTTCTACTACATTGCTATATGTATCACTTGTCTAAAATTCTAGATTATATTTGCTCCAAGAACCAGGTCAAATTTAAAAGTTTCATTTACAAAAGTTCTGGTTGCCATTTTTTTTGGTTGCATCTACATGACTCCATACCCTGAGAGTGAAACTTCTGAAACTCCTGAGTTGTGCTTGATTTTAATGCAGAACCATAGATCAGGCAAGGTTCACTAGAAATTAAGCCATTTTTGATACATTATCCTGAGTGTTGGTCACAGTTTGTCACAGTGCCCAAGACATGGTTCAACTATAAATATCCAGTGCTTGAAGTGATTGGCACCTGCTGAATGAAGGGGCAGATACACTGGAGTGTAGGAGTGTTTAAGTGAGTTTGGCTTGATAGCATGACTCTAAACTATGTTGAATCAGTTGTTCAGGACTGGGTGAACTCTGTGTGGCAATATGGAGCCAAGGTGAGGACAGGAAGGGAAATAACTGTTGATATCACATGCTAAATATGGAACCATCCTTATGTCAAAGGGAAGGACAAGTATCACAAAGCTTTAGGAAATTTTCCATTCAACTTGAATGTATTATTGAACTAATAATGAAACCATCCAAAAAGTGTGTTTTCCATGGTGAAAAGTTTTTAGACTTAAAACTTCAGCGTGTTTATTTTTATGCTCTTTTAAGACAAAATTCCCATCGCTGTTAGTGACACAGAATCAGTGCTAAAATGCATATTTTCTGATTCATCCAGTGAAGACACTTTCTAGAATATTTGCTCCCTTGCACCACAGTAAGCAGTAATATACTGATCTCATATTCTTTAGTAAAGCAACTAAGCTCCCCTCTTTGACTTTGAAGACTACTTCCTATCTACAGTCCTCTGTCCCTGACGAGGTCATGTTTTGGGAGGACCATATTTGCAGCAGAAGAGCTTTCTAGGCAATTCCAAAGCTCATTGGCATCTTCTGTAGCAATTCAGTGATCATCTGATAAGAAACAGGAATTTCCATGCCTGAAGTTAAATACACTGTGTTGGCAACTGTGTTAGCTGATGAGATGGGGAAAATGAACGTGAGCTTTTGAATTTCCATCCACTGTAATCTATATTAAGTTTCGTCCTCTTTCCTTCTCATGACAGGACAAGGGAGTAAAATAGATCTTCTTCCCTGCAAAAGATGTTGAAATTTAAAGAAAAAAAAATCCAAAATCAAAATTGGAAAAGTGAACTGTTGTGATTTTTGTGCAAAATGAAGCTCTAGAAAAAACATTTTTAGATCGATCTATGTTTTTGACAAATTCAAATGATTTTATTTCATTATAAGTCCTTTCCCTATTTTTATTTTATATAAATAGCAATTCTAAAATGAAAAGTAATTTTGAAATCAAAAATGAAAGTTACCTGTCCAGAAAAGGTCAGAATAAAACATTCTACAACATTTTTCCCCAGTAGGCCAACACAATTTAATCAGAATATATACAACTCTGCAAAAAAAGAAAAGAAAAAGGGAAGAGTTTGGTTGCAATGACACTCTCCAAAAGAAAATTATTTCTGTGATAATTTCCTGACCAGCTCTCAAGGGGAATACTGTGAGGACAACTTGTTGAACCCCGAAAGAAGGAATATATTTCATAGCTTAACTACCCAACTGATCAGGTCTTCAGGGATACTGAGAAACTCTGTAAGAGCTGCAGAAGAATTATTATGCCAGAAGAATGCTTTTAATACTGCCATCATTCTTTCTTTCATTAAGCTTCACTTCATTAGAATAAACACTGCCTTTACTTCAAGGAGAGAATGACCAATGTTGTAACTACTATTATGCCATAAGAGCCACTAACATTCTCTAACAAGAAGTTGCAGTTATATTTTTCTACTGAGGCTCACAAGAACATGGGAGAAAGCCAGAATCAATTTTACTCCTTTATGTTTAGTTATATTGTAAAGCATAGATCCATTTTTATTTTAATTAGCTTTGCTGTTTAATTGAATGCCTTTAAATTTAAAGACATTTAGCCTTGCTGTTTACCAAGTCAAGTTTTCTACATAAATTTAAGGTATTGTTACCTAAAAAGATTACTTTTAACGTCCCATATGTTCATTAGGAATAGATGGCCATTAGCAAAGAATGGTCTAAAATGAAGCCATAATCATTACTTTTAAATAAATAAATATATATCTATATATAGATATACACACGCAAAGATAGATAGATAGATAGATAGTACTGAAATATTAGCATGCGAATGTCTACATCCAAGCAACATTAATAGCACTTACGACAGTCACAAGGCTAATTTAAAACATAGAAAGAGATTTTAAAAGTGGGTCGTTTGGGGAAATATATATAAACCCTCATTTTGAAATCAGTCCATTTAAGTCAAGTCCTGAACGGGCCCAAACCTACTCTCACTGATGCCATATTTCTGAATCATGGCCTTATATTACATTTAACTGTCCTCTGAAAACAAATTACACTGCAATGCATCATGTGCCTGTTCCAGTACAACAATCCATACACTAAAACGTTCTGATACTCACTTGTCCTCTATGCCAAAGTGCCCCCACCAACCTGTTGCTTGCAATGTCTTGTGAGAGTAAATCCAGGCACACACACAAACAGGTACAGGGTTAAAGCTCTTTTATTTGCAGATCTCCAGCACTTCTTTTACTCCACTCTTTTACAGGTACTTCCTTCAAGTAATTCTGGAGTTCTCACATTACAATACAGTGGACTTAAAGGGATACATCATTACATCATTCACTGTAGAAAAATATTCAGCATACATATTTATGTAGATCTAGGCAACCTACCATATTTGAGGATAGGTCAAGAATGTGTTTAGGTTAACTCAAGTTGCAGGGTATAAACTTTTGATTTTTTGCTGGTTCTTCCCTCCCCACCCCCACCCCTACTTCTTTCCCATATCAAATACAAGTAAAAAGATTCACTCCATTTTCCTCCAGAACTGAAAGTTTTCTGAAGATTTAGCTCATTTTGAACACAAGCTTTTACTGCTAAGCTGAACCACAAGGCAAAGGAGAAAAAAAAAACATACTTGCAAAAAAAAAAGGAGAAAAGAAAAAGATGCAACCAGCTTTTTCCCTCCCCCAAACTATGAAATGCCTTAGATCACAGCTTTCACTAAACAGACTATTCAGACCAGATTTCCATTATTCTCATCATCACTTATATAATAGCAGCTGATTTTATCATCCTTCTTTGTATGCGTTTCCCTTAGTGCTTTAGGGTAGGAAGGATTTTTTTTCTTCTCAGTGCTAACCAACAACAGATAAATAACTTCTCAGCTAACCAGCAACAGATAAATAACTTCTCAGCTCAGTGTCTAAGAAAATGTGTTTTCTCAATGGAACTCTTTTCATCTGCACAATAGCACAAAAAATATGATACTGTGCCCTGTGACAAACCATAAATTCTGTCACTGGGGATGTTCATTTATTTATACTTCACTTTCCATTCAAACTGGTCTTTTAAAGACAAAGCATTTGAATATTATGAAGAGGTTCAACCATACAGAGGTCGGCTATAATGAACTGCCAAGGTAAACGTTACTAACGCAGAGACACTTATAAACATAGTAAAGATAAATAGTGTCTTGTTTCCTTCCTTCAAACTGTATTTCATGTTAATGGCTTGAGCTTCCATGCCATCGTGCCTCTTGCATTCATCTCTCCTATCCTAAATTCTGGACATAACAAGTCCTATATTCACTGCATATGCGTCCTTTTTATTGTACTTGCAAAAAAAAAGAGTTAGCTACTTGCTAGCTTTGTTGTATATTTGCAATTGTTCTGCTGCATCTTATGCAGCTTTCTAAAAAATGATAGACTAAATAATGTAAAGAGGAAATACACCAATGTGAGGTGCAATTTCAGATTAGCCTTTCATTTCATTAAATTAATACAGAAAGAGGTGTGGTCCTGAAAACTGAGTACAGGACTAAGTGACAGCAGCTACTGTGTTCTGTTTCCAACTTTGACTCTTGGACAAATCTGTGAATCTTTCTGCCTCTGTTTCCCCAGTTATAAAATGTAGGTAGTAATACTTACCTATCTACCTCTTAGTGATCTGGTAAAAATTACTTAGCACTTGTAAAATGCTCTGAAGATGAAAAGTGCTAGAATGTAATATAACAAATAATATATTTCTTAATAGCAATAGATAAAGAATTACATTTCAGCAGGTTTTCATTTTCATTTTTATACTTGACAGCCAACATGGTGTCTATGTGACAATTTTGTCCATAGTCTTTTTCAAATAGTCTTAAATGACTTCATGGTCCGAGACCTCAAGTCACTTGGACACTTTTGAAAATTTTATTTTTAGGCTTCTAAATAACTTAGGCATGTGTAAAAAAGTGACCCTGGATCTTCCTGGTAGATTCCATGAGATTCTTTAAGGAAAAGCCTGGTGTAAAAGCATAGAAAACCAACATTCATCCAGATGATCTGAACTACACATGTTCCTAATCAGTGCCTCAAGTTTCCAATCTGTGAAATGGGGACAGTGATACTCATCCTTTGTAAAGCACTCTGACACCCAGTAATGAAAAGTAACACATAGGAGCTAGGTATTATTATTCTGAGACCTCACACATAATTAGTAACTCAGTCTTTATTCCAGAAAGATTGCTTGGACACTGCAGGTGTGAATAAGAATTGACCACACCCAGTCTAGGCTTAGGCGGTTTACTTCAAGCCACCTAAACCATGACCGGGATGGGTGTGCACAGCCACTCCATACTACCAGAAGCAGTGTGGGGAGCCTGATGCAAGCAACTTGGGGTGGGAGGAGGGTCTGGCAGGTCCGCCAGGGGGAAGGTCAGGGGCTAAAAATAGCTTAGTTCAAGTGAGAAGAGTGGAGACTGGGACTGGGGTAAGCCCAGCCCCAGAACTGTGCTTTGAATGCAGCCCTTTGAGTAATCTCCTCCTAGATCAGTTAACCTTTTCTCAATCTAAATTAGCACACCTCCTGAGGTGCACTAATTTACATCAGGCGTGCCATTTTTGGCCAAATTAAACCCTCTGAACACCTGCACAATTGGGCATTTATATTGACCTAAGCGTGATTAGGTCGATTTAAATGTAACGCAGGTTTGTACCCTCCAATGCCTACCTCTTCTCTTAAGTCATTCATAAATTTTGTAGGGAGACAAATAGCGAAGTGTGTGTGTGTGTGTGTGTGTGTGTGTGTGTGTATGCATACACATTTTGCAGCTTGGAGACATATGAAAGGTGAAATATCAGCCTTACTGAGTCCATTTTTAGCTGAGTCCAAATTGCACCCCTAAACTTTACCTGGTAGTGCATCAGGGCTGTCTTTAATCTTATATTATATCTTTAATGAGACACAATATTTTCAAAGGTTTTTAAAAACACTCACTAACCTTCAGTATTAGTTGACATTTTAGTATCTTTCTTTATGTTCTATCAAAACAAAAAGACACATTGTAGCATTGCCATGGGGCGGAGAGAACAACACAATAAAAGATTCTAAAGGTCTCTAGTTGTCATAGACTAGTTTGTATATTTGTAAGTCTTTTACTCATTAATTAATATTAATTTTATTATTATATTATAGACCTTACTGGAAAGAGCTCAGTAAGGTTATCAAGAACAATATTTGATAACACTGAGCTGCAAAACTTGATCATGTCACAGATTTTAGTTCAAAGAACTTTGGTCTTTCCAAATGATGAAGATGTATTGAGTACTGTACCCAAAAGGCTTCTCAGAGCTGGCCGTATTCACTGTCACTTTGAACATGCTGCTAGAAACTTCACTGCTATGTTTTAAAGATGAAATATGCCTGGATGCCCACGTCTCCCACCATTACAGACATTGTTTTGAGGTAAGTCAGTTGCTGAGATTACAGATCATATAAAGATATAGGAATCTTCAGTGGACAAATAGAAAATAGGAAGTTAGCAGTTAAAGTAGTTTTCCTGACTTTTTTGTGTGCACTTTTTTGGTCAATTCAAGCAACATAATTTAGATATTCAGTATTGAAAAGGAAAGTTCAGGGAAGTTGCATCAACACATATCTCCATATGTTCATAAACTTCCAGGCTGCCTTGCTAAATTTTAATGACTCCGAAGCAGCCAGAAATGTTTTGCCAAAGGGAGTCAACAGCACATTAATATGTTCTAGTGTCATGGCTGAATGCTAAAGATACCCCTGAAGAAATGATATGTTCACAAGTTAAAACACTTACATTTACCAGGCTGTTCACAGATGAGATAGAACCTAAATACCAAACTCACTTTACAATATATTAAATACATACTGCTACTTTTTATCCCTTATTTCTTCCACAAATCTGCTTGCAGTGTAGTCCATCATATTTTTATATAATGATGAGGTTTTGTAGATCTTATGTATATACCTTTCTGGAAATCAACTCCTTGGGCAAAGAAACCAATTATCATTCCCATATTTCATGCAAATTATGCACCATATTACTACTTTTTAATTAATATATGTACTTGTTTTCACTTGGTGATATATTTTGATTAATTGTCATGACAAATATGTTCATATTTTACAAGATGTAAAACATCTGCCACCTGGCCATATGCTCCAATTACCTACCGAACTATGACCTAAAAAGTTCGATTTGGGAACATTGCCATCAACATGGCCTTCTTCTACCTCTTCCTCCCCATGGCCCCTACAGACTTCTCCACCCCCTCCCCCACCTCCAAGATCTATAATTACCAAAATATTAAGTTCCATTCTTTAACAAACATTTGCATGTACACCCAATTTTATGCCACTGAATTCAATGCCACTTGTATTTAAGAGCATCAGTGAACTTGGCTCAGGCCACCAACTGATTGACTTTCTGAAATGCCAGTTATCAGGAATAGGAAAAATATGACCTACTATACAAAGCTGAAAAGAGAAGGTGGCAAAAGATTACCACAAGGGTAATCATCAAAACTGTTCAAGTCAATAGGACCCTTTCCTTGATTTCCACAGACATTATCTAAAAGACCAATATGCCAGGTAGCCCCAACTACTCTCATTTTCACAGAGTATCAATATTATCTCTAAATTGTAGTCAGACTCAGCAGTCCATGCAACACCTAAATTTCCATTAGTGCAAATGCTTCGTTTTGGATATACAGGATAATTTTGCTAGCACACCCATTAAGATAACCATAAACCATTTGATAGTCAGTTTGACTGCATTGGCTTTTAATTCTGAATGGTTAAAACCCACTACAAAGGTCTAGCCCAAAAACCATTGAAGTCAGTGGGAACCATTCCAGCAGTTATGGCTTGGCTTCAATGGGCTTTGAAGTAAACCCTATAGTGAAGTCACTGGGAATTTTGCCATTCACTTTAATCGGATGAGGATTTCACTAAGTGTTTCAGAAGTAAAAGGCATAAGTCATTTCTAGCTAATCACAACTGCTATAGGGTTCTGCCCAAGTAGACTATAACATAAGTTGCCTGCCTCCTGGCACAGTTTCTATGAATTTAAAAAGCTGAAACTTTGCATATAATAATTTATCCCATAAAAAAATATCATGAGATGTATTTCCAAAATCCAGAGGTCCAAAAAAACCAGCTAATATATAGTAACATTTATTATGTAACAGTGACATGTTAAATAAATGTATGAATTCATATGACCTGTACAAAAAGCCAAAAAAAATATTGCACCAAGTTAGGTACCAGCTATTTGGACTTACTATTTGCTAAACAGATGATCTATAATTATATACATTTGTGAAGTTAAGGCAAAACCAGATGATACCTTTAACACAACAGAAGGTTTGAAAAATAGACATAATTACAAACATGGGGACTCATCTCCAGCTAATAAAGTGGTTATGTCTACAGAAGGAATCCCACAGGTTTTTAATAAAGTGGTTATTATCAATCATGTTAATTAAAGTTGAAGAACAAGTGTGAGATTTCCTGCAGGGCAAAGCTGTTTTGCAGAGTTGTGCCAGACTGATCACTTTTAACCCTGATAAGATTTTTTTTTTAGTGTTATAATGCTCTTGTTATTAGAAAATACCATATGGAAAATATGAATGCCTTACAGGTCCAATTAAAACATAACCATGACCTTTTAGCTTTCAGTTGTCTAGTCTCCATCGTGATCATTGATGGAGAGTAACTATATAGGTGAACCATCAAGCACACTACACACAGAGGAGAAATAAAGTCACTCACTTATCAATAATGATTACCTTTCTCAAGACAATGGAATAAATTATGTCAATTAAGTCCAAATGAACAAAAACATGTATAACCAATATATCAATATACAGTTCTTTGGCAGCAACACACTAACTCTTGATTGAAGTCTGAACTCAAAATCTCCTAAATTATAGACCTGGTTGCCAGTCTTTTTAAAACAAAGGAAAATCCACTTCTCCCATGAATCCAATAAGTCCAGTAAATGAAAACCGAATAAATCTTGCAGGCAGCTTTAGACTGTAACATTAAGCATAGATACTTATTGTCTGCTTTAAGTCTCAATCCAAATATACTGTATTTCAACACACAAAATTCTTTGAAACTTCGGAGTAGTTCAGATAGGGCCAAAATCCATAAATAGAATCCATATTCACCCATGAGAAACCAATAAAGAAACATCAATCCAATGATGATAAAATGATCTTCATGTAACAAAGGCAATGTTTGGTCCACACCTGGATGGGTGTCACAGGGAAAACTGATTTTACAGGGGGAAGACCAGAAAGCCAGAAAATGTAGAATACTGCCATCCACCGACCAGATTACCTTTCTCTAGTTTCAGGTAAACCTTATCCTCCTTGTCTAGATAGAGCAGGACTCCATTCGTAGCAGCTTCACGAGTAACATCTTTGTCCCCAGCAAAAGCAGAAATGACAGGTTTTCCATTTAGCATCAAATTAACCTAAAAAGAAAAAAAGAAACTGGAAAGCTCTAGTTACCAGAGAAGCATTGGAATATATCACCAAATAGTATCTAGGGAGTGATGTGACCTGGTTAGAAGCCAGTTATCCAGCATTTGTATACTATTCCCTTTCAAACTTAATATTTAAGGTGAATTTGCTTGTTTGCCTTATGGTCAGACATATTAATGTTTTATGAACCTGAACCAAAGATCACTGCAATCCATGGGATACTGTTCATTGATTTCAATGGGATTAGCTAGTTTCTCCGAATGATACTGATACATGGGCTTTAAACGTGAGTAAACTGACCTAGCAAGATGCAGCCAACCAGCTTATTTCAATTTAACCCAAGCTTTTTCAAGCTTCATTGGCATGGAGTATGGAAATGTACAACTTCCTGATTGCATATCTGTATATGAGGCACTTTCAGCCAGACTTTCAAAGGTGTTAGGCACCCAAAATGCAAAGAAGTGCCTAATGGGATTTTCAGCAGTGAGTACTAAAGGTACATTTAACTTTCACTGCAGGTAAGATGTAGGTCCCTTCCATTTTTTATGACAGGTTTGTTTCAGTTTTGCACAAAGCATCATCTTTATACACTATTCCAAAATGTCAATTTATTTTTCAGTAAAGTATCTCTGTAGCACAGAAATGTCTAGACTTTGAACCCCCTGATATGCAAAGGGATACATTATAAATAGGGATAGGATGGAGGATTTGTTGTAATCTCTTTTTCTATAATGCAGTCACAGAGGGGTAAATTAGGAAATGCTTACTCATACCAAGTATTCTGACCCCATGTGTACCGTCATTAATATTAGTGGGAGTACTACTGAAGTAAATTGTTGTTCAACATGAGTCAGAGCTGCTGAATCTGGCCCTAATTTGGGATCTGCTTATCTGGGAAACCCATTTAATCAGATGTCTCCAGGGAACCAATTTCAGTCTAATGATACTTAATGGCACTAACAGATGTTTCAGGGGCATGGTAATATCACTTATGTGGGAAGCCCTCAGGTAATTTAGTGCCATTTAAGTCTGTATTTGCTGAGGCTCAGGCTGATAGCGCTGTCAGTCCTTCCTTAGCTGTGACACATGCAAAAAGTGCACTACAGGTTTGCTCTTTGCCTGTTCCCTTGCCACTATGTGACTCTTACTGCAGCAGCTGCAACTTCGGGCTGCTCTGATGGGCATATGGGAGCTGGCCTTGATACAGTGCTGAACAAATAACATGCTTAGTTCCTGTCCCCCTCTCAAATATTTGAATCTATCCAGTAAAGCAAGGGCTTGCTGCAGCTCAGCAGCTCCACAGGATGTAGTCTTGCATTTTTTATTTAATCCAAATGAATGGCCATCTACTAGCACCACCTGAATCTGTTGCACAAATTAATCTGTGCAAAATAAAGGCTTTAGACCTGTTCTTCTGTTTTACACTGGTTTTGCCATGGTGTACATCAACTATCTTTAATGCACTTATTCCTGCTTTACCCCAGTATGGGGGAGTAGAAAGGTCCTGTGGCTAACCATCATTATGCTGTTTTAAAGTGATGAGACAAGAGATTTTTCAAAATTACTAGTCATTTGGAGAGTCTTAGCTTTTGACTACCCAATTTTGAGATCAGCTGGATCATTCCTTGTGAAGTGTCTCAGAAAGCTCCACAATCTCTGAAAGCCAGGCCCTTTTCAGGAGTCTTAAGTTATTCACCCAAAATCATTAGTCACTTTGGAAAATGCTGGCCTGTGAAATTACTCCTAATCACATAATTTAGTTGCATTTTTGTTACTATTCTGAAACTCTCAGGTTTGAGTTGTTGAGCCCCTGTACATGAAGCACATGGAATTATAGTTGCAATTATATGAGAAATAGATTGCTCCCATAATGGAATTGGCCCTACTTCATCCTATACTAAAATGTACACTTTCACTCTCTCTGACAATAGGTATGTTTAACAATTAGACAATGAATCACCTGAGAGTGATTGTAGATGTTTCATGCTTCATCAGATGTAAAAAAGGGGAGGGGAGGAGTTTGATCAGAGTATATAGCCTTTAAGTAGTGTAAGGATGAAATTCTGCCTCCATAAAAGTCCATTGACTTTAACGTGGCAAAGATTTCACTGCATATGTTTAGGGTAAAATTTACCCCTCATGTGGATGTTTTATCAAACCAATCACTTGTATTATATAAATTCTCCATGGGAGCTGTACTTGCAGCCCAAAGGCTGAGCTGCTACTAAAGGATGCATGCTGCAAGAAAGGTCTTTGTAGCCAGGTTCAGAAGACCACAATTAATAAAGATACAAATCAAGGGAAAAGCCACAAATCATGTTTCCATGGATCCAATGGTCTCCATGGATGGAAACATGGAGAAGCTGCAGCTACTATTCCAGCCCTAGAATAGCACATGTGGCACAGGAGACTGTGCAGCAGCCTCCTATTCTGACGCTGAGGTGCATGTTAGCTAGTGGGAGGATACTGGAGACCCTGGAGGCGGTAGCTGGTATGTATATAACTCTGAACTGCGAGCTCAGTGCTGCTGTCACATTACAAAAAGCAGCATGGCTTTGTGCATTTTCCAACACTGTCTTCATTTTATCATAGTATAATTATATTACTAGGGTGTAGTTATCACAGCGTTACACTTACAGGGCAGTGAAGCTACCTTAAATAGCCATGACCTTCAGCAAATCCATTTCTTCAACAGATCTATGGTGTCACAATGCATTTTTTGAGTTTTGTTTCTATAGTACAAGACATTTATCAATATCCTTACAATTGATTTAAAAGTGCATTTTCTTGGTAAGTGACCCTTCAATCTATTATTTTCGCCCAGATCTTCAGCTGGTGTGAACTGACATAATAATGAAGCAATGAAAAGTCAGATCAGCTCGAGGGTCTAGCCTTATACGTTTTATAGCTGATCATTTCAAATGACTTCACTATATTGCTCAATTATGGAATGTAACATAGCATAAAGTCACAGCGGTGCTCACTGTCCCCTAACACGGCTGGTTTTAGCTGAATGGTGTCAAACAGCATTTGGTTTAGACACGACTTTTTTCTTGCTCTAGGCTGCAAATAATTTACATTGAGAAAACGCTTTTTTTTTCATAATTAATCAACATACCTGGATTGTTTGACTTTGATAGACTTTAATTACATGAAAACTGAAACTGTAAATTCCTTTTCTTGGTGCTACAAAGACAGACTCCAACGTGAAAAAATTGCCCACATTTACTAGGATCTACAAATAAAGAATACAGCATGGGAATTAATATGAGAACTGCATGCTACATAAATGTATAAAGAATTAGCAGTAGAAGCAAGGCATCCTATACCATTTTCCCCATCTAACTGTACAGTTTTTTATGGTTTACTATGCTCACTTAAAATATTGCACGAAAAGTTATTAGATTTCATTTCCAATTTGTGATTTCCTGTATAACTTCAGAATAAAAATCACCTGGAATACAAATACCTGTCTCTTCTTGCTGCCTGTAGATGCCTCCAAATGCTAAGTCTACCTGTGCGTATATCACATATTGCGGCGGGGGGGAACGACAAAATTGTCTTGTAGTCCCAAAACACCTCATCAAAACACCAGAAATTCTATGATTGACTCTTAGAATTGGCCATTTAGTAATGGTCATCCATAGATCAAGCTACATAGTAATAGATCTGTGAATGAAATAATTAATATAATGGTTTGAAGGTCGACTGAGCTGGCAAAATACATGACTGACCTATAGGACCATGGATTTACAAGAACTGGCTATATCACTTTTTTAACACTTCAGTAGCAATTAAGGCTTGATTCAATAGTTGACAACAAATAACAAAGGGAAAGACATCAAAAAAGTACATCTTCTATATGCTAAAGTGCCATCATTAAGGACCAAAGTCTTCTTCCTTGCAAAATTATTTATTCTTTGTTTTTCATTTGTATTTTCTGGGGTTTGTAAGGAAAATATGTTTCTCAAAAGGACAATAAGTAAAATCAGGAAGTTTCCTTAATTCTGACATTCTAAATTACCCTGAGTGATGTAAAGTTCTCCGGTTGTCATGACAATTTATAATCCATTCCTATGTGATATAGGAAGCAAACTATCTATCTCAATTACTTTGGACCTGTTCTACTACAAGAGCCTGTATATGAAATATGAGTGCCAGGGTGTGCATATTTAATATGTATGGCCAAGATAAAAACAGCAATATTACAAAGCTGTGAGATTTAGAAGTGAAAAAAATTATTTGAAATTTAATTCAAGCTATCTCTGCACACAACACTTAAATTCTAGACATCCCGGATGAACCAGAGGGCATGCATTTCCCTCCCCTCCCTGTATCTTCCTTTACACTTAGTAATGGTTCACACTCGTATATTTTGCACATTCCCTTGTCTCCTCCACAACTCCATATGTTTCCCTATCTACCAGAAAGGTTAATGACAACAGGGTGAATAAAAGTAAAATATTCCAAGCACCAGCTGTCTTTATCTTGTGGTGAAAGACAGGCCCCCTCCAGTGGTTACCTATCTCTGAGCTGAGTAGACGATTCTCTGAACCTCAGGAATTTATTTGGATCAATTCCCCAGCTAGTGGGATCATCCCAAAGACTTGGCTCTCCTTAGCTATTTTGCATAATAGACAAGGCCTGCGAAAAAAAAGTCTTTCTCATGCTAGCTAGAACAGAAAGAATGGACAAGTATGGCTA